AATTGCATTTTGCACATAAATATATATTTTATGGTTAATAGTTTAACCTTTTCAAGTGCAATGCTTTTTCAATAAGATTCCATAATCATTAAATGATTAATCATACCATGTATAGACATCCCATTTTTGTCTAGGGTTAATTTTGTAATATAATTTATTATTTGATTAGGTTTTTTGTTAAATAAAAAAAAGGAAAAAATGTTTTATTGAAATTTGAAGAAGGTTTAATTCTAATTGGGTTATTGAATTGAAAGTGTTATAATTGAAAAAAGATTGTAAAAGAGCATTGGTTTTGAGAGGTGGATTTGAATTAAAAATCTAAATATGAATATGATAAGGAGATTCAAACTTAGAAAAAAACCTTTTCCTATTGCAATTGGGATTACAAGTCTATAAAAAAACCCAATTATGATCAATGAGAAAGGATCAAACAATAGGCAAAAATAATATAAAAAAACAGGCAAAGAAAAAAAATTAGTCAACACAAAAGTTAGTAAGAAGGAAGCAAAAATTATAGGAAAATTTCGGGTAGTATTGTTTTCTTGTTAATTTTTTAGAAAAGTAGTTGATTAGACTATAGGATTAATTAGGAATTAAGAGGGTTTAGAATTCGGGAAAACGAAAAAAAGTTCAATTTTGGCTTTCTTTGTTTCATGGTTTTTGGAAAATTTTGGGAATTTTCTAGGTTGGTTGAATTTTTCGATCAATTTCCTAGCGACTTCTTGCCAGAATCTATGTTATTCCATCGTGATCTAGGTTTGGGTTGAACATCCAGCCAGCAGTCACCTATTTAGAGAGAAGCTAGAGAATTTTGGATGAAAAATGAGAAAGCTAAATAGGAAAAGTGAGGAAAAGAAATATTTTAGCCTTTTATACCTTTCATAAATGGCACCATTTGAATCTTAAAAAAATTTTGCAACCCACACCTAACCCAACCGTGAGCAACACACCTACCTAGGTACAACCCGACTCGTTTGGCGTGAAATCATTTTTTTTATTTTCTTTGATTTTTTATTTGATTTAATTTTATTATTTTTATTCTTTTATTTATATTTTGATTAATTTATTATTTAATATTCATAAAATTTTTACTTGGTCAAATAAAATAAAATAATTAGGGATAAATAAAATTTCATCCAATGATGAAATTTTAAGAGAGTTATGGGCATGTAATTTTCTTTAAATTTTCTAAGTGATGGGACCTTTTCTAAATTCGATCAAAGCATTAGAGAATTTAGAAATTGATCTCAATATAAAAAAATTGTATTTATTTCTAATTTGAAAAATTAAAATTGGGAATAAATTGTGATGATTTTATGATTGATTAATTGTAATTATGATTATTGTATTTTATTGATTTGTATATTCTATTAAATTGTATTAAATTGTGTGTTTCACTAAGTATATCTTTCATAAAATATTTAATAAATCCGACAACAAAGCCTCTACAAGGAAACGAGCATGTTACTTGAATACTCTTGAGGTGAGAAATATTTTTAGGGGATCGACCAAAATATTGGAGAAAATAAAAAAAATATGTCCGATATTAAAATACTTAAAAAATAGATAAATTAATAAAAATGAATTAGGAATAAGAGACCATTGAATTATGGCTAAAAAATAATTTAAGATTAATTGGTACCAATTTATGAGTATTGTAGGAGTGTTATAACCTTCCTTATATGTAACCGAACTCTCAAACTCAACTCTGTTGAAAAGACCAAAACTTATTCCTTTTAGAGACCCTTAGTCAAGCTTAGGACCTCATTAGAAATAATAAATTCACTTAGATGACCGATCACATCTAGTTAAAAAAGATTTATGGTGACTCTATATTTTGTATTTATTGGATTAGTTCTAGGACTATACACATTATGACACCATGAATAATCAAAATGATTACTATTATAAATTTAATAATAATTCCAGGTAACGATAATCAATTATTAATTCAATACTAATCCCATGTTCCAAGATTACTTTCGCAAACTCAAAATTGAAGATGTATACAATAAATGAAAATAAATTTATGCACTTCACAATATACATATCATGGCCATTACTAAAATTAAATAAATATTGAAATCACCTACTATCCAAATATACAGGTATTTCAATTTTCGTGCCATGATATCTTATAGTAAAATTGTGTTTCTTGCATATATCAATAAATTTGTTGATTAGTACTCTAAAAAGATTCAATTTATAAGTTTTAATCATCTACTCCACATACATACTTTCATTAACATTTCTTTTATCACTTGGCAATGGGTTTCCATGAAAATCATGGAATGAAAATAACAAATCTATCTATTCTATATGCAAAGACAACATCATTCCATTAAAGCATAATAAATATTTAATTAACCCAATTTCAAGCCTATTTCATTGAATATGCAAAAAACGATTACATTAAAAAACAAATAAACTTATCTCAAGTAGATATAATAATTAACATGCATACACTTTAATAAAAATGTCTATCAAACTGAGTTAATATCCTTACTAGAATGGCATATAAAATAAATTTTATACTAATTTTGAATAAAAATTAAAGAAAAACTTATCTAACATTATGGTAGAGAATTATTTCTCTTCGTCCATAGTGTTTTAAGAATTCGGAGATTCACCAATGCATATCTAAGTTTTTTTCCCTTGCATCTCCATAAATAAAAAATGTAAAAATTTATTTATAATTGCCTTTAAATTATTAGGAAAAATAAATAAGAGAAGAGAAATAATACTAAATAATTTTAGTTTCAAGGTGTGAATAACACTATTTTGGAAGCAATTATACTTCTAGGATACAATAAAACTTTAAAACTTTTCAAACAAAAGTAGTAAAAATGATTATACTGAAAAATCTTATTTATAAAAAATAAATAGATATAAACTTCAATTCAAATAGTTAACTTTTTATATAATCATGACGTTTATAAATAATAATCTATTTATATTCAAATAGTAATCATTTATCATATAATAATTATTTTTATTTAAATTTAATTATTTAAAATATAAATAAAATTAATACAAGAATTAATTTTATTTAACAATAACTAAATTTTTTATTCAATGTGAGATATATCATATTTTAAACTACCAATATTTATCAGGTTAAAAGTAGCATGCGATGTCAACGATGAGGATTTTGGAATATTAAGGCTTAAAATAGAGAATATGGGCCATTTAATTTAGACTTGACGGGCTTTAGGAAAATAGTTAGTTTAGGCTTGGTGAAGACTTTGTTGGTTAAATAACATGGGTGAGTTTTGCTTAAGCAACACGAATGGCCACGATCCTAAGATGTCGTTGCTTAAGCCTCTCAACTTAACTTCTTGTAGTTTATGCTAGTATTATTACTATGACTGCTACTAGTAAGGATATCATGTGTGTTCGACTTGCCAAAGAATTCAAACCTTTAACCAGGAAGTCTAATATAACATATAATAAATTTAGAAAAAACCAAAAAATTAGCAAAGCTTCAGCTCATTTTCATGATAAACCACTTAAATTGTAGTCTTTTAATGAAAATTTGTTAAAAATATTTAATAATTAAAAGCTACTTAATGTATTCCATCAATCTTTTTTAAGCAAACAAAATTCATTTAATGACATTAACCTCACATTCTTCTCTTTTTCACTACTTAATTTCCTTTTTTATCTTTCACAATTGTAAAATACTAAAAAAAAATTTTTAAAAATCTATTTAGCATTTAAATTTCAATAAACTATCAGGGGTTTTACTGTCTTCAGGGTCCATCATTTTCAAAGGGAATGACAGACACAATAATATGAACGAGTTGTTTCTTATAAGAAAGTACTTTTTAATTTTATTTCTTTAATAAGAGTACTTTTAATCTTATTTCTTTAAGAGGACTACTTTTAATAAAAGTAGAACAAAGATGTTTTTGCTCAATTGAAATAAAGAAATATTGACATGAAATGAAATGCTGCCATCGAATCCAATTAAATTGAAATACTTTTATTTTGGAATAAAGTTTGAAAGTACCTTGGTTAAGTAAATAAATTTACCAGTACTTTAGTTTTAGAAAAAACTCCATTATGAACCACAAATTTCCAATCTTATAACTGTTTACTTGTCCAACCGCTTAAAATTCTAAGACAAAAAAAAAATCTAAAATAAAATGAAATCAAGATTCTTTCCCTACAACTAAGTTTCCAAAACAGTTGATGAAGAAGTAATCTTGCAGAAGAGTTAAAGAATACCCAAATCCACAAAATCCATACACTAAAAATCTCTATTACCTCCAAAGCTTGCAAAACCCATGATCCACATTTCCATGTCCATAGACCACAATTAATTCTCAACAATTTTTAACTGCAATTTCCAAAATAAAAATGAAAAATTCATAGCTTAAGGCTGGTTGATTTGTGCTTATAAAATCGTTATGAGAAAATTAGAAAATTTTTTAAGAGTTTTTAGATTTTCATTTGAGCAAATTAATTCTAGAAAGATAAAAGGTGGGGATTGAAGAGAATTTAAACAGGCAATATCTTCAAGTTATGTAGATAAAAACTATGAGTTAAGAGTAGATTAAGAATTAAAAAACAATTGTAATATATATATATATATATACATATATATATAGGTCACATGTTGTACATATATATACATATATATGTGTGTGTGTATATATATATATATATATATATAGGTCACATGTTGTATTTAGATATCCAACAGGGTAAATAAGTTGTCCGGTTATAATCTTAAAACACGTGTGAGAGGATTGTCTGTGATTCCCTTAGAGACTAACGGATTTCAGCAAAGGATTTTCAACTATCAAACCAACAATGTTTATAGTCAAGATTCAATACTTAATTTTTTTAATTAGAAATTGAGTGCTTAATTTTTCAATGACATTTTTTCAGTTGCCCAACAATAGTCTTGCTTTTGACCTTTTGCACTCCCATGTCAAATTGAAAAACACCAAAAATAAAAGAAAAAGAAAAGAGACAAAGGTAGGAGAGAAAAGAAAGAAAATAAAGCGTAGCATTTCAAAAGAACACAAATTATTTTACAGGAAACAAGCTGCTACATATACATAATTAAAGGACCAATGCAGAGTAAGCTGCTCCGTCTTAATTATTAATTCATAGATGAGACCTCCATCAGTGGCTCAAACTCAAACTATTAGATAGGCAGTGGCATTATTATTCGTGGCATGGTTTTGGCCCCATCTTCCATTGTTTAAAAGTTCCTTCTACAAAGTCATAGTAGCCTCCCCTCAATGTCATAATTCCCTTTTCCACTGCATTTCTCACATATGGATATGTCAGTAGATTTTCCATCGAGTTGTTCACTGATTCCTGCATCATCATAAATCACAATTAATCACTGAATGTGTTTTCTGTTGAACTACTGTTTGCTTTGAACATACCCATATGTTTGATTATCGAAACAAGTTGGGCCTGGCAGCTAGCTTACCTTTTCACACCGCTTGGTTTGTTCTTCTAATGGCATATCGTTAGCCTCTTCCAAGACCTTTCTCTTTGCTGGCAAACCAATTTTTACCCAGTCATCTATGAAGTCACTGCACAATTCAAATATGGATCAAGTGATGAGAAAACATTCTTCATCTTTTATCTGACAAATTAATGGTGGGATTTTCACAATTATCTGTGGAGTTCGTAGCCTTACTATGTATGATTGTGAGAGCAGTGTTCATCTGGAAGCTCCATAAGCCTCTTTATCCCACCACAACGACTATGTCCAATGATGAGGATGTTTTCTACCTGTAAACATCGTTTTCTTCCTTTTATTACACATTATTTCTCTACCATGTAAAATGAGGAACAAAACTTGGGGGAGAGGCGACAAAGTAAAAGAGAAATGATAGTAAAAGTTTAACTCTAAGATTAATATGAAGATAAATATAAAACATTTCACCTCAAGAGCTTTAACAGCATACTCGATGACCGCACCAGTTTCAGTGTGTCTCAACTGTGCAATAAGCAATAAACAATAATTTATCTTTTGTTAATTAATGGGATTTATTTGTTTAAATGAGAATTTAATGATGGTTTTGAGTGGGAGATATAATATCTTTGATTTATAAATTTGGTAAAAATTAATTAAAAAGTTTGGGGAATTAACCTGGTCAAATGGAGGAACCATACTAGCAATATTGCGGGAAACGAAGGCTTCGCCTAGCTTGAAATTCAAAATAATGGAGGGGCTGACTCGGGAATCCGAGCATGCAAAGACCAAAAACTGAACAATGAATTAACAGCAGATTAGCACATTCATCTTGATTAATCATTGTTAAATTACAGAAATTAAAGAACTTCATGAAATTCCATCGCGTAATTCCTAGGCTGGAAACCATTGTTATTGAAGGTGAAGGTACCTTCGGGTGCTGGCCATTTGCAAGTTCATGGAAAATTTCTGGACATTTGCTGCAAAAGGAAAAAAAATGAAATTGGCACTCCAAACAAGAATCTAGCCAGGTGGATATTTTGTACAGGTATAATTGGACCAAAAGTCAATGCTTCAACAGCATTAATTGCTTAAAAAATGAATGCTACAGAGTGAGACAAGGATCAATATATTAACAGTCGAAGTTCAACATGATCTTACTCAAATAAGTTGTTCTTGAAGAACTGAAAGCCATCCTCAAGCCTTTGAGCATCTTGATCAGCAGAAAGAGGCCTCCCTTGGAGCTCGGAAATAAGCTTCTCATCTTTTCCTTGAACCTGCTCATCCATCTCTTCTTCCTCACTGCAACCAACATAGACAAGAATTGACCGATCTTCATCACAATATTCACAATATATGGGATACATGAAGATAAGAAATGCAAGATTATTAAAGCTTGAACAGTCTGTCGTCCAAAAAAACCATGGCTTTTTTGGATTCAATATACCAAAAAGTCTCCTTAAATCTTCCTGGCAAAATCTACAAAATTAATTAAATTGGTCATAACAAATTAAAATTGAACTATATATACACTGGATAGGGAAAGTATGTACATGAGTATCTTCTTCAGTCCAACAACTACTTCAGCAGATTGCTTTTTCTGCAAATTCACAAAATTTTTACGGTTAGTAAATTTTAATAAGCATGAATATATATGAACTCAACCCTGCAGCTATCAAGTCATAAAGTTTGGACGAAGGGAAATGAACGTGCAAGGAATATGTGCATAGTAGTTGCAACATAATATCCATCAACAAATTAAAGCTCAACAACCTAACTAATAAACTACAAGAAAACAGGTTTTTAGCTATGAAAATTTTCGATTGCCAAAATAAATCAGTACTGATGAATTTTTGGTAGAATACTGATGGATTGTTGTGAATTGAATTTTTATCATCGACAAAAGACTTTTAGTGTTTTTATTTTTCCAATGGAAAAATTCAGTCAAAAAATTTTCTAGTAAAAATCACTAATGCCTTGAATAAAATCTTCCTTTAAAATTTATCTATAAATCATTGATATTTATAAAATTGATGCATGCATGCACATTTAATTTTTTGCTTCTCAAAACCAATAAACCAACTAACCTTGTCTAAGGAGCTTAGCTTTGAACTTTTACGAGGAAATTGAATTAAATTTCTAAACACTATATATGTGGCTAACACGTATAGAGATAACAGCTACAAGGATTCACATCATTCAAGCAGGTTCAAGCAGCATTTTATAGGGTGAGTTTAGGCTTTCTAGAACATGGTCCCTTAACAAATGAGAAGGTTTCTCTCGCTAAAAATGACTATAACATGATTTTAGACTTCAGCATTAAGACAATTTTTTTTACCTAGCAAAAACTAACACGTCTTTCCCTTATTTCAATTCTTTATTTCTAGGTTGTTGATCAAAGAAATTATTTATGTCCAGTTGTTTCTAGGGATGTTAAAATGGGTAAGATATGGGTATAGAAAGCATTTTTTATTTTCATTCTTTATTTTTATATTATATTTATTTTCGTAGTTATATATAATAAATATTTTAAATTTATCTAAATTCACATTTTTGCAGAAGATTAATGAGTAAGGAAAATTCTTATACCCGAAACTCTTTAAAAAATATATAAAAAATCTATTTTTTTTTAATTTAATCTTGTACATATAGTAATTTTTTTATAAATATATATTTTTAAATAGAAATATATTAGATCTAAGTAATCTAGAATAAAATTTTATGTTATTAATTAAAATTTTATTTGCTAAAGATATTATATACGGCACGGATATAGGTCAAGTATTATATTATTCATCACTATTAATGTACCCAATAAAATTTTAAAACCATAATCATCTTAGTCTCCACTCTAAAATTTAATACTTATTTATATCCTCATTTGGATAAAAAAAATCAATTTTTTTATTGGATTTAGATAAGATTAATATCTTTAATGGACTTTCCAATTTCTAAACCTATATATTAATTTAATTACTCTTAATCTGTAATTGTTCTGAATTAATCTTCCAAGCACCTTTGATTATCATTTTGACAAATGTCTGACCCGCTAAAGTAATACATATCTCTTTGAATTAAGGCATATAAATGAATCTGATTAACGTTGGTCAGCCTCTTTCATCATTCTTGTAGTAGGTAGACTTGGCTTTTGGTTTTTTGGATTAAGCTTTTTCTAATTGTTGTTTTGTGTGTGAGTGAGGTAGACATGGCTTTTAATTTGTTGCAATAATTCAAGCTGCTCATCCATTCAAAATTAATGTCGTATTCATATATATATATATATATATATATAGATATATATAATGAAAGATATGTTGATCGTCTAGTTTGGAACAAAATGAATCTTCGGAAATTAATCAAAGCTGTAATATTTAGACCTTGTTGCCCAAGCTTTCATGGAGGCTCTATATGTAAGTTGAATATGAATTAGTAGCTCTTAATTATCCTGAGTTTGACTCTTTCAAATAGAACCTTGAGGATATATGTACTAATACGTATTAGAATTAATGTGAAGGGTAATAATTTGATATATCAGAAAATTCATATATAATAAAAGTTCAAGCGAAGATAAAAAAAAAGTTTTGAGAACTTCTTAATTTTTTAATTAAAAAATGCAGAAAAAATTGTCAATGCTAAAAATTTTAATTTTAAATTTATTGTATACTACCTTTTTAAAATATCAATATGAATCAATTAAATTAGACTATGACATCAACTTTTTCTTAGAAATCATTTTGATCAACGGTGAGATTGGTTTCAATGAAATTGAAAATAAAGATATTAGTGAGATTAATTACTATAATCATAAGATTAAAATAAGTGATGCAATGAAATATAATAAAAAAAATAACCATTAAAGATATTGAATCTAAACTTATATATAATAATATTTATAAAATATATTTATATATGTTATATTTTTTAAATTATTAAAATTATTTTATAACAAATAATATTTTTATTATTAGGGACGTAATAAGAATGAAAAAAAAATGAGGGTAAAAGGGTCTAGTTAAAATTTCCATTGACCACTAGACTCTTGAAACTTCAGTACCCTACCGATGTTTTGGTGCGGACAAACACCCAAACGCACCATTAACTTCTGTTATTCAAACATGCCATACAATATGATTAAGCAAAAATTTAATCATGTAATCATGCTGCATGGATTTTTGTCTTAAGGGTGCAAACTTTTTTTATCTCAAGAACAACTTAATTGGGTGTAATAAGTTACGTACAATGATAGGAGAGAGAAGCTCAAATGATGAATTTAATTAAGAACAAAGACTTTTTTATATAAAATTTAAGCCTAACTAAAACAAGACGTCAGAATCAGATCAAATCGCAATTGACAACAAGAAGTTAACTATTGAGATTAGGTGGATCAATTTGAAAATGGAGAGTGAAGTGCTTGTCATATTAAAACGTGGTTTACTCGTGTTTGGTGGGAAAAACGTCTTCAAAAACTGTATTCACTTCATTGGCTTCCTAAATTCAATCCTTATAATAAGAGGGATGTAGCTTTGAACCACTGTTAATTTGAAAGTTTTAAATTCGATTTTTATTTTTGAGATAAGAGATGGCTAACTATCATTATATAATCCAAACTCAATAATCATATCATAATTTTAAAAAACGAAAACTGGATATTCAATTTTATACCATTTCTTGGTAATCATATCATAATTTTAAAAGATATCTAAAATTCGAATCCCATGCATTTAATCATACCGAAAAAAAAAGAAAAAAATAAGTTGAAATATCTATAATAAAATGAGAGGTAATGTTCTCCTATCTCATAAATTTCATCTTACACATCTTGTATTCTAAAAACATATGATTTTTTTAAGTTGGACTCACAAACTTTAATTAATTGTTAGGGTCTTGGAGACATTTTTTAAGTTTTTGATAAAATAATTAATTGTTAGTGTTTGTGATTTTTCTCATGTTCTTTTTATCATAAATGTTTTAATTTGTTGACTACCATTTTATGTTGGGAATATTTATATAAAAAAATTATTATTTTTTCAAGTCTCAATGTACTTGATGATATGAGACTTAGGCTAAGAAATCATGATTCAAAATAAGGATATAATAAGCATTTCAATGGCAAATAAGGTTATAATTGTAGGTGTAGATATCTAATTTTATCCAAAAAAAAAAATAGATTTCGATTGATTTTTGAGATTGATGGCACATCCTAATTTGAGCTCATTTGGACACTTTAATTATTTATATCATATTGGGCTTCGATGGCTTTATCTCTAGATCAATATTTCTTAGGAATTTATTTAACATAGGCTTTAAACCAATTTTGAATTAAGTCATAATTAAGTGATTTCGGCTTAATGTTTCAAAGCCCAATAAATGTCCAAATTCAATTTTTAATCCTCAATCATTCTTATTAACATTGATTAATTGAAAACAAGCTCTTTTAAACTTTCAAAAAGAAAAGGCCAATATTGAGTTTAAGCATAGCCATAAGCTTCCTAGACCCGTTGACCCCAAAGGTTGCACCATTTTTAGCTTTTCAATTTTCATCTTGTGCTTTAATTGTTAAGAATAGTAACTCAAATCCTATAAGAGATTTATTTGAGATTAGCTAGATATTACTTGATGGACAAGAAGACTTGTAGAAAAAGAATTTTAAGAGGAAATAGATTTTTAATAGGTAAGTTTAACTTGCAAAAATAGAATTCTAAAAGGAAAGATATTCTTAATAAGCAAGTTTATATGGTTATAAATAAGTAAAGTCTTTACAGAGTTAAATATGAGAAAAAGATGTAAGAGAGTTGTAGGATTTTATGAGATAGACACCCAAGAAATAGGAATACTAAAGATTTGCGTCTTATGGGTGTATATAGTTGTATGTTTGTTAATGGACTAGAAGAAATTAAGAAGATCTACATAGGTATAATGAATGAGTACATATGGATATATATTTGTTTGTAACATATGGGTGTACATGGGTATGCATTTCTTTGGATTGAAAATACTCCGTAGGATTAGAAGAGACTGTGAGGGTCTTACGAGTATCGATTGTTGAGTGAGATTGATGATTTGATTGTATGTTTATAATTTTTTACAACTAGTGGATCTTATTTTTTCATCCGTAGACGTAAGTCAATTGGATTGAATCATGTTAAATTGTTATTTCTTGTGTGATTGATTAATTATTTAATTTCGCTTTCACTTGTGTGATTAGATTGGGGTCATTAGGCATAACAAATGGTATCAGAGCTATTGTGATCCCAACAAGTGGTATCAAAGCTAAAGGTTTGAGCCATGAGAAAAGATAAGTCTAAAAAAGTTTAATTCAAAGAAGAAGTTCAAGTTCGTATTTTAAAGATTGATTTATATGAAGCATGAAGACACACAAGAGAAAATGATTGTGAAACTTTCATTACATATGAGCTAAGCATGTCTAACATAAAGATAAATGATTTGATGAGTTAAGGTGGAGATTACTAGGAATAGTGACTCAAATCTCATAGGAGATTTGTTTGGGATTAATTAGCTATTGCTTGATAGATAAGAAAACTTGTAGAAGAAGAATTCTAAGAGAAAAGTGATTCTCAATAGGTAAGTTTGTATGGTTATAAATAAGTGAAGTCTTTGCAAGATTAGATATGAGAAAAAAATGTAAGAAAGTTGTAGGGTTTTATAGGATAGATACCATATAAGAGTACTGAAGATTTATGTCTTATGGGTATGTATATTTGTATGTTTGTGAGTGAACTAGAAAAGAAAAAAAGGGTCTATAAAGATATGATGAATGGGTACATACAGGTATATACTTGTTTGTGATATATGAGTGCACATGGATATGTGTTTGTTTAGATTAAGAATACTCCATAAGATTAAAGGAGATTCAAACGGTCTTATGAGTATTGATTTGTTAAGTGAGGTTGATGATTTGATTGTATATTTATAATTCTCTACAACTAGTGGATCTTGTTTTCTCATCCCTGGATGTAAGTCAGTTGGATCGAATCATATTAAATTATTATCTCTTGTGTGATTAATTGATTATTTGATTTTGCTTCTACTAGTGTGATTAGATTGGGGCCATTTGGCCTAACACAAATTCATCAAACTTTCCTACAACCTAAAACCTAAACTATTTTCATCTTGCATGCCATAATAATTCAAATTCCTAAATCTAACTTTTTAGACAAATGCAGCAAACTTTAGTTCCTAATAAAATAAAAAGAAAGGGAGAATTCACAAAAAAGTCATGAAAGGGGGTTTTTACAAAAGAGGATAATACATAGTGAGAGAGAAATTTTTAGGGACTCTCCTAT